CGCCTTCTCATGGTCCCAGACAATAGGCCGCGGATGCAGATTCCCGATCCGGCGACCGGATCCGCCACCGGCCACGCTCCAGATGACGGCCCAACACCTCCTCTACTCTCGATTTGACCACTCGAGATGAACTCAGGGACGTGCACGTTGTCGCAGGACACATGGTCGACGCCATTTTTGCCTCGGACATCGCATCGTGTATGCGCTCGACAGTGCTTGGACCTACAATAAGCTTCACTCGAGCAGAACCTTGGGCACTGCTTCTCTGTCTAAATACGAAGAGACGAACGTTGCCACTCCTTTCTCCTAGATTAGCCGGGCGGCTTGGACCTGCGATTCGGCGGGATGACGGGACAGCACGCCAGGAACTGGTATGTATTTGTTTGGCTCCCGACCCAGAATGTCCAGATATGAATGATATCGATTGAAGATACGACCAGCCAGCGATAAGAAGAATGGGAGAAAAGCAGTGGCGAGAGTGAACTGGTCTTCCGCCCGAATACCTAATAAAACTGACTTTGATGCACCAGGCAAAGGAGGGCCAGCGGACCTTCTCCAGCTGGGTCACCAACTCTATGCACCTAATTTCGATCGTTCTAGCTTTGATACTACTTAGTCAATCTAGCCAGCTTTTCCCCCACTCAGTCATAAAGAGCGCATACAAATGGCTCTGGACCTCATCGCACGTTCAATCTCCCTTTCTGCCGCTGCCCATGCATGATTGGCGACCGTACCGTCTTCTCGCTCGGATATGAGTATCTATTGCTTTTCGTCTGCCGAGTTGATGCGTTACTCGCCACCACCGCTCCAAACTTCACGACGCGCAGTCACCCAGAAAAGAGTCGCCGGCGTTTTTGTGACTTGAGCGAATGGCCTCCCTGAATGCACTGGTTATGAATGCACTCTTCGTATACAAACCAAAATAACGCACCGAGATCGTCGGACTCGTTTGAACACCCAATTCGCCAACGTCGCATGTAGACAAGGTGCAAAAGGACAAAAGCGTCGGTTTATGCTTTCTGTGTCTGACATCCTATATATATAATGCTATCTTTACAGACGTCCGGCAAGCCGGTTAGTGTTGTCGCTTTTTTGCGTTCCAGGTGCGTGGGCCTAACAGACGCAACGGAGGTGCGAACCACATGTGAGATAGCAGATGATCCAAAGCACATAAACTACATACGACAGCGCTCCTTCCTTGGTGCATACCCGCTGTTGTATCGGTGCGCATCTGCGCTCGACTCCTTCATGATTTTACGTTTCACGGCATGACGAACAGAGTCCCTTGTAACTTGGAGCGTGAAAGCAACCCGTATGACAAAATACTGAAATAAAACTAGACCGTGGGGCCTACACAAAAACGTCAAGTGCATGCATGTAAAAAAAAGGTTCACACGTAAAAAGCGACGACTGTAGGACTCGAACCTACGCCCTCAGAGAGGAATTGATTGTAATCCGATGATTCGAATCAATCGCAGTAACCACTTTGCTAAGCCGTCTTGTTCTTCATCCCATACCCTCCGTTGATCACTGCATCTCGGAACTACCTTTCTGCATATGCTGAGTGCTTCCCTTCACGTTTAGGCAGCTTAGCAAGTTGGGTTCTGAGGGTTTGCCGATATGAAGTCATGGTTTTGTGCGATTCTTTTGCTTTACAGCCTGGAACCGGAATCATTCCCGACCTCTCAATCGAAAGTTACACGGTGCGGAAACTAACATAAATTTGACTATTCACAGAGTTGCTGGTCTACTATCCTAGGCCGTCGTTCGCAAAAAAAAAACCCCAGCAACCAAACATAACACATACATCACCTCCACGACCGCACAACTTTCAATTTTGACACGCCTTGGCCAGAGGCACTTCAAAGCTCAACTCTTCGACGGGAGTCTTGGGAATATCATCCTCTTCGCCTCCGCTCGAGACGCCCTGATCAGACAGGGGTGGCGGTGTGTGCGACCGCAGCGCTTCAGGATGGGCGTAAGCTCCATCAGGCGAGGCAAGAGCCACGAGCTCCGCATGCGAAACGACGCGAAGCTTTTGAGACGGCGGGACGGCCTTTTCGGATTCGAGTTCGAGACCGCCGTGGAGCACGCCGACACGCATCATAGCCAGGAGCTAGTCGATATGTGATAAATGCGAGTGATTATTCTGAAGAGAGTCCAACTCACATTGTGCGCTGCGTTCGAGTGGTCGTATACACCTCCAAAGAACGCTGTCGTTGCGTCCTTGCCAATATTTTTGGACAGGAGATGCCGCCCGCCTGGGTGTTCCTCCATGAATGACGTTATATCGTGGATAAAGCCAGAGATGAGCACGAGGTTGCGTTCTTTTGCGAGCGATTGGACTGTTTCCGAATTAAGCTTGCGCATATACCCATGATGAACAAGATATCCACTTACACTCATCCCACCCGATGACTGGCAAGTCATTCGAACTCTTCGGCCACTGCATTTTCTCCGAACGAGCCTTGATGCGCTTCAGCTCCATGGTCATCTGCCCCTTCTTCACCTCGTTATCCGGAAAGACCTTGAGATGGCTCGCAAGCCCAAACCACGACATTACGGTAATAAACCATTTCGTGGGATCGTACTGGTACCACTTGATAGCGTTGCGGTAGTCCATGGGGAACTGGTGGTGAAAGTTGTGGTAGCCTTCGCCCAACGTGACAAAGGCGGTTATCATATGGTCCCGTGGGGTGTGCTTGTCGTCAAACGAGCTTTCTCCGAGCCAGTGAGCTAGTGAATTGACGCAAAATGTGGACTGCGTACGATATATAAGTTTTAATTTCAGACAGTGGCAAAACTACTCACGTGGTGGACGAAAAACAAGCGAGCAGCACCAGCGTAAAAGTATCCGCCGCGCCAGTCGCCCCAAAACAGCCCGGGAATAAGGGTAGGAATCCCGAAGCTCATGGTAAGAATCAACGAAAGGTACCACCGGTGTTGCCACTGAACGATCTTGTTACGAGCGAGGTCGGAAACATCGGCCACGCCTGGTCTGCGGCGAGGTTTGAAGATCATCCAGCCTGTGACGCGGAATTAGCTATCGAGTTTGAGGTCAGGAGGAGGACATACCGATATGAGACCAGAAAAACCCAAGGTGAGCATTATACGGATCGAGTTCGGTGTCGGTATACCGATGGTGCGCCCGGTGCCCGCGAGACCACCACTTGATCGAGCCTTGGACTGCCCCGGCGCCAGCCATGGCCAACGCGTACTCGAGAGGTTTGGATGCATTATACGACCGGTGAGCCCAGAGGCGGTGATACCCAGCAGTAATACCCAAGCCAGTGACAAAGTACCAAAAGACCGCAAAAATAGCAGTCTTGGTTTGGAGTGGGGTCGTGAGGCTGCCGTAGAGAGCGATAAGGGGAGTCGCACTGAGCGCGATGCAGCTAATGTAGTTGAGCTCTTTCCACCTGAATCGAGTTATATTAGCGATGCCCATATCGGGGGAATAGGTAGAACATACCAGTTACTCAGGGTTACTGGAGGAAGCGGCTTGGTTGTTTCAAGTGTGTGTTGAACATAATTGTCGGGAATGTCTATGTCTACAGGTATGGTGTCGTCGCGAGCGTGGCTCCTCCGATAGGCACCCGTTGGCGGCATATTGGTAGTACACTGCGGCAAACGCACAACGGAGAGGGGATGTGGATAAAATCCTGGTCTAATAATCGCACTGTTATACTCACTGGCACTCACTTTCGTTGGGGCGGTTATCCCACTACAAATTATAGCCGGGTCCTAACGCTATCGCATCTGATTCACCCGAACGCCCCACTCGGAGGAGCCTCGGTCAACGTGATAGGAACCAGCCAGTAGGAGTGGCAAGCAAGGGGATATTGGCGTGGTTGCTGAAGCGCAGTCGAAGCGGATCATTCGGTCTAAGCTCTACCCGAGCCCGAACCACACCGGCATTCGTCTACCAACTCCGTTGGGGGAACTTAAATACGCCTAAACCAACAGATATTGGGGTATAATAGGCAAATAGCATTCGCACCAATGCACACCACAGCGATCTAAGGCCCTATCCCGCCTTTAATCAACTTGGCGCCGGTAAGCTCATCTTTGTCCCCCTCTTTCTTTACTGACGATACAACAAGAGAGTCTCAGTCAAGAAAGTTACATGGCAGGCGGAAATAGCGGCATATGCTCACCTGTTGCCTTTGCGGTGGTTGTGGAGTTCGTTCCCTCGGGGCCACACCCGCAATCATATGTCTCGTCCAGCTTTGTGCAGTCAAACTCGGGCTTCTTAAGCCGCGCATTCACAAGGTTATGTACGTGACATAGCCTACGAACCAATGTATTAGCTCGATTTGTATGTATCCAGAGCGGAGAAGCGTTAAAAACAGTCATACCAAAGAGCAGAGACCATTCTCGATGATGTCTGAACGTGAAAGTTGTAAGGCCCGGTGCGTGATTACAGGACGCGATACAACATACCTGAGGAGGGTATTGTTTCAATAATGACTGGAACTCCACAGCGCACTCTCCACATGGGTACAGACGAGATGTCAGGTAGAAGAATGATTTGAGAGCTTCACGTTCGTCTTCGGTAGGTTTCTATTAATAGTTGAATTTTGAGAGCCGACGCAGCTGGGCGATGACGGGTAAACTTACATCGGGGAATCGTAAGGTCATTGTGTGCCTACAAAGGGAGCACCCGCGGGCAGCAACGGAGGATATCGCTTTATTGTCTTCCGCCTATTGTGGCATGGACAAAGCATGAACGTACATAAGCTTCCATGTAGCACGGCCAAGTTCGGCTCTGTTGCAGGACTGAGTTGATTGCAAAATTTGAGCCGAAACGGGAGACAACTCACTTGGCAGTAGCATTCCCGAGCTTGGGCATAATAACGCCTCCTTGTGTACCGCCTATTTGCTTCGAACGATCTAAGCCAGATGCTGTGTCCTCAACTCCGCCCTCTCCAAAGGTTTTCCCGGACAAAGGATCCACATAACTTTGCAACGGATGATATGTAGTCACCGTAATCAAGGAGATGAGCATGATGAGAGCGAGCAGTACAATAATGTATGTCCTAGTAAAACGAGCAAACATTGTTGAGAGAAATGAGTATCAAGGCTGGTCTTAGGCAAGTTTCGTGTCGCAATATGGACACAAAATCGGGTCAAGCGGAGCAATAGTTGAGAAATCGAAAATATCCTCTGGAGCAACGGAACTGCGCAGCAGTGAAGGTAATCTTATAGGCCAGCTAGTAATTGCAGCAATCCAGACTGGCCGATTTGTGCCGGGGTAGGAGGTGGGATCGTCGACGTGGTTGTTTGGTCAACCGATCAAACAGCTTCCGGCGTTTGGGCTTGCTTGAGCCGACGGCCCGATGGGAACCTGGCCACCACGACCACGAAGCTAAATCATTTGGTCAAGACACTCTATTACAGCTTAGCGTTCTACTCTGAGCTGCTCCTTGAACCCATCCACCTATCTGAGGACCTAAGATAATTAACGGACGGTTACATGACTTCAAGCGGCGGGGATTGGGTCAGCCAACTGAGTGAGGCAGATGCACCTGTAAGTCGGTAATACGTGCTCGTGGTTAACTCGTGAATTAATTGTACCACGGATTAATAGGAAGAGATATTACTGCGTACGTTAAAGGAGAGCTTGGATTCCAACGGATTGGCTGCGTTCAACCGCAAACTCGAAGAGCTTGCCGCTTCGGATCTCCATGGTGTCTGTGAAGTGTTGATTTGACTATCAGGAATGCTTGACTGATGCGTAGAATCAAGTAGACAACCCTTCAATCGACACCACTGGAGCTCGTCCCCGTTCTTTTGTCCGCCAATAACGCTCTCGCGGAATATCCTGCAGAGCTACGTCAAACTCTCGAGTTAATTGGACGATATGGGAGCGCCAAGGAGGTTTTATTGGTCGCGCAAGAATCGTTGGACACATTGGTTCGATTGACGAAAGACCACGACGACGAGGACACCACGGACGAAGAGCTTACCCCCCGGGCGAATCCGGCTGAAATGGTTTGGAAGTGGATCATCCTTATTGAGATGTATACACTAGGTGAGTGGAAGCTCGGCATGATATTTGTATATTTACCTAGCCTCCATCGTTTAGCGTTTCCACGCTTGGTTCTCCGTAAACGTTCGGCGCCGGAAACGGCTGGCCCAATTGTAGATCATCTTCGCAAATCGTTCGACACGCTTGGAATCCTCATTAACCCCACAACATCTGAAGGACAAGATATCGTGGACTCGTGCATACGGTTGGGGCATGCGTTACTCGGCTGGTTCGACGCCGTGCAGGCGGATACCGGGAGGGTTGCAGAATTCAAGGTGTGCTGATCATAATCGTATCAGCTTCGCTGGTTCCTAACGTTGGGTCCAAATACTGTATCAGGTCTCGCTCCAAGACCTACTGTTTACTTCGGTTGAGGAGTGCGTGAGTCTTTCCGTTTTAGGCCTGAGTTATTATCTGACAATATGTTCCCAGTTATCCGACCTTATAGTGGCACAAAATAGGGATGGC